AACAGGATGACCGTTGCACACGCGTGGGTTCATTAACCACTTGGATTAAATCATGTGTCAGCATAATGTCAAAAATAATGTTAGCAATTTCATAACTCTTATTGTTTGCTTGGAGGAGCTTCCAATTGACACCAGGCAGGTTCAAATCACCCATCAATAAAATTTTCTGATCCTGGTAAGAAGACATGTGCTCTTGAACTTTAGTCAAATAATCTGGAGTAGCGTCAGGTGGCCTGTAACATGCGTACAACACGAAGCAATGGCCTCAGCATGATAACTTGACTCATAAGCACTCCAGGTCGGGAGTGTCACCGATAAGCGTCGCATCTATCTGATCTTTCACTAGAACAGCCACACCCCCGCTTCTGTGCGTTCTATCTTTGCGAAACACTTTGTAATTGGGTGGAAAGACTAGTTCATTTGTTATATCACTACGTAGCCAAGTTTCTGTTATGATTGCAATGTGTGGATCATGCCGTAGCAGTTGAATTTCAAGTATATCTGTCTTGTTTACTACGCTACGAGCGTTGAAATTGATAATACGCAGGTGTTTTTCTTTGGCTGAAATCGAATTTATGTAGGATGGACGGTTGATTTCTAAACACAAAATCTTTAAAACTTGCCTTGGCAGTCGGCGAAACTAGCGTCTACCTTAGCTTTTGCGCGTGATGACGGGTCATTGGCCGGCGTGAATTTTCTTCGTCGTTTTTTTTGAGCACCAACTCTATCATTTATTTCCTCGTTACAAACATACACCACTTTACTGATGTACAATTTGTGAAAAGCTAAGGAAACTTTGTCCCCCCTGACCCGGTTTTCCTTCGCACTTGCCCAAAGCTTCCGCCTAACTTCACCAACTTTCTGCGAATAGTCCTCACTTATTGATATAGCAGAGCTCTTCAGTTTGTGGCATTGTTTAAAAATTAATGTTTTATCTCTGGTATCGAGCAGTCTCAGGATGACTGGTCGTTTTTTATTCGGAGATGGACGACCTAATCGGTGAATGCGTTCTATCTCTACTGGTTCCAGTTCGAGAAGGTCTTGAAAGATACCTTTATTTACGGCTGTTTCCAGGGATCCACCGTTTTCACCCTCTGTTTCTGGCAGCCTAAAAATGACCAAATTAGGTCTTCTACTGCGGTTCTCTAAATTGTCTATCTTCCTTTCAAGCGTTAGAACAACTTGGTTCATATGCGTGAGCCGGTCGTGACATCAAGTGACTTTTTCTTCAAGGTTTGACAAAGCGTCCACCCTTTTTTCAATTTCTACCAGGCGGTTTTCCTTTATATCTTTATTATCAGCTGCGATTTCCCTAAGCTGCTTTAATATTAGTGCAGTGTCGGGACCGGGGTTAGTTTCAATGTCCTCCCCTAAAAGCAGTAATTTCCTGAGGCAGATAACAGCAATATCAAGCAAGCAACACAGCCATGGGCACGGCAGCACTAGCAGAAAAGGATCGCCTGAACGGAAACACTTGCCGTAACATTTCCTCACCTGCACAGCAAAAAGCAGAGGTTTGTCAGCGAACCGCATTCTTTCGGTGCCGCCGTGCCCAGTGGTAGCGCATTCCAAAGGATGACCCTTTATACTGGTTCCACATGGTGTCGCTCCATGCGAAGGTTGCGTGCCGGCTTCTGCGCTTGGTGACGTAGAATGAAGTGGTAGTCTGATGGGCGGTGTCAAACGCTGATACCCAGCGTCATGACAGTAAAAATCCCCGGACTGATGCCTAGCCGCCTCGACAACGGTATGCTCACTGCAGTACGCAGTGCGCAGGAGGCCGAGGAACTGCACAGCAAAAAGCAGAGGTTTGTCAGCGAACCGCATTCTTTCGGTGCCGCCGTGCCCAGTGGTAGCGCATTCCAAAGGATGACCCTTTATTCTGGTTCCGCATGGTGTCGCTCCATGCGAAGGTTGCGTACCGGCTTCTGCGCTTGGTGACGTAAAATGAAGTGGTGGTCTGATGGGCGGTGTCAAACGCTGATACCCAGCGTCATGACAGTAAAAATCCCCGGACTGATGCCTAGCCGCCTCGACAACGGTATGCTCACTGCAGTACGCAGTGCGCAGGAGGCCGAGGAACTGCACAGCAAAAAGCAGAGGTTTGTCAGCGAACCGCATTTTTTCGGTGCCGCCGTGCCCAGTGATCTGTGTTGAGTTGTGTTTGGGTGAATTGAACGTAGGATACAGAGTACAAGAACTCGTTAAGGGCGAGCGCATGTGCAACCCGGCACGCATGAGCCTCGTGGAGTTCCGACTGACGAATGACAACGCGTTGCAGGAGGTGAGTCACCGAGTGGCAAGTCCTCACAGCGTGATCTAGGGCCTGCGCGTTCTTTGTCGCGTGCAAATGGAAGCCGAGAACTTTGCACTGCTGAACAGTGGGGATGAGAGAGCTAGAAAAATGTAGGGAGATGAGGGTTTTTTGGGAGCGCTGGTACGCAGACCGGTTTAGCAAAAGTAGTTCACATTTCTCCGTTGCAGGAAACAGGTCAGCAGTAGCGAGAAAGGAAGCGATAAGGTCCAGGCCACGTTGCGAAGTATCCTGCACGTGGCCGGGAATTCCAGACGTACACCAAAGGGTGATGTCGTCTGCATAAAAAATATGGTGGAGGTCAGGTATTTGTGAAAGTTGGGAGGCAAGGGGGGCCATGGCCATAATAAATAGAGTAGGAGATAGTACGGCACCTTGAGGAGTGCCACGGGTGAGGGAGTGTGGGTTAGACAAATGAGTAATGACTCTAAAGCGAGCAACTCGATTGGAAAGAAAAGAACGGATGTAAGAATACATGCGGGAGCCACATAACAGGAAGGAGAGCTGAGCGAGTATGTGGTCATGACTCACGCCATCGAATGCCTTCCACACATCGACGGTTACAAGAGTATGGATCTGACTATGAGAAGGTGAAAGAAAAGTGTGCTGAAGAACAAGGAACATGTCCTGCGCACATAGGTGGCGTCAGAGGCCAATAAGAGAAGGAGGGGTAAACTCTTTCGCCTCAATAAAATCAGACAGTCGAGTCAAGGCCGTTCGCTCAGGAGTCTTGCCAACGCATGACGTCAAAGAGATAGGGCGAACGTTAGAGAGAGATGGAGGCTTGCCCGGCTTCGGAATCATGCAAATTAGGGAGGACGTCCAAGAGCTTTGAAAACAGCCGCTGTTCTACGCTTCGTTGAATGTGTGTAAGATAAATTCCTTCACGTTGCCGGGGAGATTACGTAGTGTAGTATACGTTATCTCATCCTCACCGGCAGCCGAGCGGGTAGATTGAGTAACTAAGGCAGCTTCCAGCTCCTTAAGCGTGAATGGGTGGTTCAGGTCTGGATTAGCTTCGCCACAGTAATCTGGGTAGGAAGGTGTGAGGGAGGGCGAGATACATAGATTTTAAATTGTCAAAAAACATCACATGGAGTCTCTTGAGTGACAGCTTTAGCTAGGGTGGGAGCAACAGCAGGCTTGGTACCTAAGAGAGACCAAAACAAAGACCCCGTAGAGCGCGAGTGCAGTACGGAGTCAAGGCCGTCACACAGCGTGTTCCAACGAGAGTGCTCGAGGGAATTGCCGCAAGCGATAATTTAAGCCCGCAGAGCATCAATGCGGGAGGAAACTTGGACGTAGTGTGGCTGGGAAAGGAGGGAGCGTTTCAAACGATGCCGTCGCCATAAACGGAGGAAGTGAGGATCAGGGTCAGGAATGGGGAGTTGAAAACAAGAGTGGTGACTACAAGATGTCATTTCTACGGAGATCCTTGACGCCCAGTCGTCGTAAGTTTCAAAAAGAGTCAGACAAAAGGTTATTACAAAATGCTTCCCAGTCAGTGTGAGCAACTGGTTGTTTCCACCTGTTGTGGGAAAGAGGGGTGGTGATGTGTATGAGAAAGGGATCACTGAAAAGGTTTTCAGCGGACACCTGCCAGTGAAAAGGAAGGGAACTCCGAGAGAAAGTGAGATCGGGTGTAGTGGAGCACCGTGAAACAGTGCCCGCTCGAGTAGGGGTGTCAGGGGTATTAAGAAGGGTGAGATGGCGTTCCCGGCGAGGCAGTGCAGAAGGCGACCTGGTTTGATTGTTTGGGAGTAACCCCAGAGCCTATGAGGAGCCTTAAAGTCACCCCCAAGGAGGATATGGGTGGTCAATGGAAGGGAGTGCAGGAATTTGCCGAGAGCACTAAACAAAGAGGATGTGACAGGGGGGTTGTGAAAGGACATCAGAGCGAGAGAAATCCGGGTAGATGGTTGGTAATAGACCACACCAACTAAACATTTCAGGAGGGTGGCGGGTACGTCTGGTGGTTAAACGAGAACATCATTGCGTACATAAATGGACGCAAGTGGCATTCCCGTCGTAGCGTGATATGCATGGTAGCCCGGGACGGTAAGGGCCGTGCGAGTGTCCTGTATAAGGAGAAAATGGGGTAATGTGGGGCGGGTGAGAAGATATTGGTGGAGAGTGGTCCCATTATGTCGAAAGTTGCGGCAGTTCCACTGCAAAATCTCGAGGTCGTTTTCACGCACCATCTAGGTCTTTGAAGTAAAGGAAGCGCTTGCGCATGCGCGTTCCTTCTCAGTAAGTTCTCAAATCAGTCTCAATCCCCTATAGCAAGTATCTCGAACTCACCTTGGCTTTGGGGCCACAGTGACGAAATTTATTTCCACAAGTGCTGGAAACAATGAAGATTGTTGAAGGGAAGCGGGGGGGGGGGGCTACACAAAATGACACCCAACTTTGCATTTTTAAATGAACGCCTTGATCACGTCTCATGTGTGGGCAATTTTTAAACGGGATTTGATGCCAGGTTTTGAGAAACATAAATACTGATTTCTACAAGGACTAAAATCTGGACATCGATTCTGAAATATATGTTTTCATTACACTGAAATGTTTCAACTCACAGTCGCCTCATGAAGTGACAGAAGAAAAAAAATCTTGATATGAGTCCTATTTTAGCAGCATTCTGAACAAAGCATTATTATTCGCAATAGGCCAGAAAACATTGCGAGTATCATTTAGCAAAGTGACAAAACTTTATTCATTATAAAACAGCGGGCCGCAACCACTGCCCTAAAACGGTATATACTGTGCGGTCAACGAAAAATATATTTCGAATCATCGTTCGAATAGTTCTTCCACTGGGTTGAAGTCACAGTTGGTCGACCAAGCTTCTGCAGAAAGCTGTCGCCTTAGTACAGTGGATGCCTCTGAAACAGAAGAAAAACGCGGGAGTGTCACAACGGTGAAGTGATCGCAAATGCAAGATAGAGCATCAGCAGAGCATGTGCTGCTTCTGCAGACAATACTGGTTGAGCACAAAGTCACGCACATTTACTATATGGTGCTTCTTTTTAGAACATGAGGTTACGAGTTCGGTCCCAACTGTAACGATAGCATTCCAAGGGAGCAGGAATGCGAAAGAGCTCGTGTGTTGGGCATTATATAAACCTTAAAGGGAGAAGAGTTTCAGAAGGAAATATAGAGCTGCTTCGGTGACCCATCAATGAAAAAGTGCACTGAGCAAACATTGATGCAGCGAGACTAGCACAACCTATATTGAATAGATCCTTAAAAATGTTGAATTCTGCATACCCAAGCATGAAAGAAGAAAACAAGGTTAGACATTTGATAGAATAAATCGCCGAAGATGTCTACAATTTCCTCATAGGCAAGGACACCTTGGAGTCCTTAGCGGCCGTAATTTGACACTGTCGCTTGATTGATTTGAGGGGTTTAACGTCCCAAAACCACCATATGATTATGAGAGACGCGTCGACACTGTCGCACTTATAAAGGAACACAAAAAGCAAGAAGACTTTTCGCGTATTAGTATTAGTAAAGTACACTATTACAATCCTGAAAACACCACTTTTACCGAAACACGACTCTTGTGAGCCAAAATACGGTAGAAAAAAATGTGAATGGAGACGCCACCTTGAGATTCCCGCACTAAACACCATGAAGTCAAAGATTTTGAAGGCGTCTACTGCGTCCTACGTAGTTTCTAATCAATAAAAATAAAGCAAATTGACTTGCCCCATAGACCTAGCATACCAAGTTTCAAAAAATGTCGTCGAGCCAATGTCCCTAAAATACGAAATGCACATTTTGAAATTTTTGACGCCAAGCGTGAAGATTTGGCAGGAAATTCGAAAAAAAATGAAACTTCCACCTTGATTTTCTCTGCTAATAATGAACTTATCGTAACAAAACGTATGTAATTAGAGTTCACAGAGTGCAAGTTATCAGTCTTAACCAAGATGTAGTTCTCTTTAGTGTCCCTTAAAGACTCCGAAGACTACGTGCCCTACTCCGAAGTTACGAAGACTTGTCAACGTCATGACCAGTGCAAGTGTTGACTTCAATCTAACAACACCCTGCAATCTAGCTGTAATGATTAAACAATAATGGTTAAACAAATTGGGCGCAAATAACTTGAAACGACGCGATGCTTCTCTCCGAGAAGGGCACATGCCAGTGATGCTTCCTTGTGATACGACGCAATGTTTTTATAATGTGCCCCAACCAAGAGCACTGAAGTCACTAGCCGACCACCTACATTGTCGCAGAGGTCTAGCTGTAGAGAATTATCACATATCATTATTCTTTATGTTGGCTTACTGTACTACGTCACGCATCGATTTTGGCGTTACGATTTCAATTTCAAGAACACGACTTCGAAGTTTGTAGCTAGAACAGTCATCGTCATCCTGACGCAGATTACCTCTCACAGCTTTCCCTCTCGACAACCGAGTGTGAGGCCGACAACTCGGTTCTTAGAAGTTGTCGATGTCCGATTTCCTGACATCTCGATTCTTAGGAGTTGTCGATGTCCGATTTTCTGACATGACCGCTTTTCACGTAAAGCCACGCAGTGATGACAGTCCCACCCCTCTTTTTATCTCGGGAACGAAAGGTCAACGCTGTTTCGTCGTAAAGGATGGCTTTATTTACAAGAATTACTCCGTCATTGGCGCCCTTCTACTTTTTTAGTAGTGCCGACAAGTTAGAGACATCATGTACTTCGAGCCATAGAGACGATACTACGTCTGAATATACGAGATTTGCCAGGACATTTAAGCGCATACAAAAACGCTTCTTCTGGCTGAAGATGCGTTCATAGTGTCACTCCGTAAACGTTGCGAGCCGTGAGCACTGTCACCGCTACAGGCATCTGACTACCAAGCCAGCCGGACTTCTTCATCCTCATATAGCCACTCCGGATTCCCCATTTAAGCTCGTTTGTATTGACCGGCTCGGCTCTTTTTCTCGACAAACGAACGGCAACCGATAGAGTCGACCACTTCACACGCTATGGCAAATCCGTGGCGATTCCAGCCGCCACGACCACTCAAGTTTCGCAGTTCATGCTGCCGCACATTGCGCCTTGGGTCCCCATGTCCTCATCAATAATCGCGGCTGGCGTATTGTTGCCGATGTGGCAGAATACCTTCTGCGCTTTCTCATTTTTGTAACAACACTCCATATCACCCACAGCCTAACAGTTAACCGAACAAACCGACAAAACCCTCGTGAACGTAATTTTCGTGCAGCGAGTTCGGCGGCTTGGTAAATTGATGCATATACTTCGAAATCTTTGCGCCAAAAAACACGGAGACAGAAGAAACAGACGTAGACGACAAAAGCACAATGTCTCCGTGTTTCTTGGCGCTAAGATTCCAAACTTTTTTTCGTGTTTGTTAATTCCGAACACAAAACGTGGTAAGCCATCTTGCCATTTATAAGTTTTGCCCACAATACTGCACAGCACGAGACATTCAGACACAGTTGATTTTAGCAGCCCTACGTACGGCCAACTCCACACATACAGTTCTTGACACAGTTCTTCCGTTTTCTGCAACTGGCCACCCAACTATCGCTGAAACAATTTGCGGTGCAGAAAAAGGCCTGGCGCATCACCCACGTACGTATACTTTCGCTTCCCAGCAGTGCATCAACAACCGTTACGACGAAAGTTGCGGAAGCGTATTAAAATATATATATATATATATATATATATATATATATATATATATATATATATATATATATATATATATATATATATATATATATATATATGATGTCTAAATGTGTGGCCTGAACGACAAGCACACTCAAACATTATCTTAAACAAGTTTTCCATTTATCACGTATCATTGTCGAAATAGATAACCCAACTTTGCGTACATTCATAAAGTTGAACAGGCCCATGCCTAGGCGATGACAACAAAAAACTTATGCAAACTTCTTGGAGGCTCTTAGGGACTCACCAACCTCTTAAACAGACATAATCTATGTAAATATTATTTGGCAAAGAAATCTAAATACTGTTATTAGGTACGTAGTTTAATAACATCTGACACGTTATGCACGATGACATTTAGAGTGAACACTAGACAGAGAGCAAGTGAGAGTTGTAACTGATGCCTTCTTTTAGGGGAGGGGGAATCTTGTGACTTATGAAGGAATGGATGGTTTGTAGAAGCAGAAAAGAAAGTGCTTATTGGAATAAACATGGCGTATGAACCAGGCCACGTCGCCCATTCATCATAGCGTCGCACGTGTGATGTATGAAGCGATGGTTGGTAGAGGCCGAGAAGGAAGAAGTGCTGAATAGAATAACATGACGTATGAACCAGGCCACGTCTTGCAGTCACAGTGTTACACAAGAGCACCTAAATCAAAATGGTTCTACGGTTGTGATAGCAACTGATGCTTCGCAGTGGGAGGAAAAGGCCGGGGTGGGGATTTTTTCTACACAACTAGAATGGTCGTTTTCTGTTAGGCTTCCTGATTACACCCAAATATTTGACCGAGTTCTCAGCTGTTATAATAGCCCTACGTAAAATTCTTTTAAGCATTACTTCTGTGTCTATAGTTACAGATTCATTGTCGTTGTAATCGGCACTAACTGCTTCAACAGTTTCGGAGATTCTAATATTATGGCGATTACTTGTTCTTCATCATTTGCGAAACTTGCGATTAATTTCGGTGCCAGGACACAAAAGAATTGAACTCAATGAAGTTGCGGACTCTCTGGCGAAAGCTTTTCTGACAGGTCCAGTTCTCTTTCTCTTTCCTGTTATGGCGCTTGTTACTGCGGCAAGGTTCAGAAAGTATGCACTATCTGTGTTTACTCAAAGTCTTGATTCATCACCGGACTTCCTGTACCTACAGTTCCCTTGGAGCAGGAAATGGTGTGCAGCAAGACGAGCTGAAGTTGAAATAACCAGAATGCGTTGTAGAGTTTTAAATCTAAATTTTTAGATGCACAGAGCGGGTTTGGCGGTCTCCCCTTATTGCTCATTTTGCAATGAACTCGAAACTGTCACACACTTCTTGTTGAGCTGCCGACGTTTTTCCTTCCATGGAAAACGTATCGAAATTAGATTGCGGCAATGGGGTCTGGCGGTTACGTCGGCCGTTGTGCTATCATTTGCGGCCTTCGCTCCTGGGCACTTGGAAAGGAATGTTTTCAAAGCCGTGGAAAAGTTTATATGCGACTCGAATAGATTTGGTAGATGCATCAACTACTAACAATTTTTTATTCAGGCTTCTTAGCCAAAAGATCTTCAGTCTCTGCGAGATTACACAAAATATTGCGACTTGAAATTACAATTATTCATAATTAACGTTACATTAACAATCATCTCAAAATTATTTTAGCTCTTACTAAATATTAATCATATGTTCAGTATGCATGATCCGCCCGACTCATGGCCAATCCCCCAAAGTGGGTAGGTGCCAATGATCCAAGGAGCATCATCATCATCATTCAGTCGACAGGATGAAGAACTGGCAGCCACTTCATCAACCGGCCATCATCATTGACCACCTCAGCAAGACGCACTGACCGAACGTTGACCACGCAAGTGCATCCCAACTCTGCACCATGACCGGCATCATGACAGGACCATCCACTGACCTTCCCATCCCCAAGTACCCCGGAGCAGGGGGCGATGTACCTGTACAGGACTGATTCAACCTGTTCGAGCTACATGCTACCGCTGCATCATGGTCGGAACGGGATGTGGTTACGAATTTCAGCGACTACATCACCGGTGAGGCGTTTAAATTTTACCTCACCCACATATTCGAAAACGACGAGTCTTGGCATAAGAGAAAAGAAAAAAATAATCATCTGGTTTCAAGACCATAATGAAAGTTCAATTAGAACATGCACTTTCACACGTGGTCGTTTTCCCAACCTTCCAACTGATTCCTCATCTGCACAAATATCGCCAATGCTTAACTCTTCGCTGCATAAAAGAATTTAATCTACTATGAGTGACCCAGATGCATTTAATACTACGTGCCGCATGCGTACTTTGCAAATTGACTTGGCATCACCTGTCATCAACATTACTGATAAACCTGATGAAGCACCTCATAAGATCGTCGCATTTACGCATGCAAAATAAAAAATGCAAAACGGGACACGCAAAGGCTATAGTTACATGTCTTTGTGTCTTGGCCATGGATTAGAACACGCACTCTCAGTGCATTCGAACTCAGTCATCGCACTCATAAGCAGCCTTCAAGCATTCGAGTACAGAGCATGAATTTAAAATTCCCGTCAGGTGAAGTTAGCCACATTTTCCTGGAAAGAACACGCGGTCGTTTTTCCAACCTTCCACCTGGTTACTCATCTGCGTAAATATCGCTATTGCTTAACTCTTCGCTGCATAAAAAAATTTAATCCAATATGGATGACTCAGATGCATTTAATACTTCGTGTCACATGCGTACTTTGCAAATTGACTTGGCATCGCCGGTCATCAACCTTACTGATAAACCTGATGAAGCACCTCATAAGATCGTCGAATTTACGCATGACGAGTTAGCAAATCTGCACGAAACCAACCAAGACAACGAATGTTCACAAAAATCTCATTCGTTCAAAGTATTCAACTAAGTAGTTCCACAAAGACAGAAGCATTCACAATCACCATCTTGTGAAGAAAAGTCTTCTGTAGAAGCATCTAGTGTTCATCAATCACCAGATCGAAACAAAGCAGAAGGCTCAAACAAATCGAACATCGCACGCTGCCAAGCGCAAGAGCCCTTCGTAATGAACAGGGAAGAAGAAGCCTCCAAAGACCTTTTTGTCGATTCTAGTGCACCATCTTCATTTTCTTTTGAGAATCACGACATCCCAACGACTACCAACTATTTATTGGTGACGCCAACTATCAAAAAAAGCAGGCTCGTGTTACTAAAGGAGTACTAACTCATCAGATTTTGCAACATCAGCAGTGCCATCAAGAACTCAAAGAACTCCGGAAACTACGGCAGTTACATCAAGCACGACGACGAACTAAAATAAGATCACAAGCAGATTTGTGGCTTAAGAATGGTCGTCAGTAACGACACCAACTAAAGGAAAGACCAAGTCAACATCTGAGCCATATTCGTGCAAGGAAACGTCAAGTAAGTCTTCTGTACCAGATATCAAGGCATCATGTACAATTCTACCAACCGAGATACCACCACAGAAAACCACGAAACAGACTGATTGCTACCATTTGCAAAATGCCGGAACACAAACATCTTATCATCAACTTCGGTTTTCGCAAACGAAAGCTGGAAGCAATGCTTGTGTCTCAGCCACGACACAGAATACAGCGCCCACGACAGAAAATTCGGCACCTATGACGTCCGACCTTCAAATGCTACAAAGACGTCCAACCTCTTTCGTTATTCGCAGCTGCAGAAGCCGTTTTATTGTCAGTGCAGTTGTGCAGAACGCAGTTATCTTTTCCAGAACACCACAGTCAGCCTGGCCCACCAGAACTCCTGCGTTAACCGGACTGCTGAACTCTCCCCTGAAGTCTTTGAAAGTTTACGGAACTTCTTTGGATCATACACTCTAAGCCGAAAAAGACTAAAGTGGGGTATGCCATTGGTCCTTTAGGGGTCTAAATGCGCTGCCACAGATTTTGAACCAATTTTGGACTAACTGCGGGAGTAACTGCAAGGGCTCAACTGTTACCCCAAGCACTTACTCCACTTGGTTTAAATGTCGGCCCCAGTAGAATGATCCAGCGGGACTAACAGTTGAACCGTCTGGACCAATGGCAAAAAAATGGCGACACTGCTTTTGTGCAGTATATTTTATGTTTATTCCAATTTAATCAGCACTGAAGATCATAGTATGTTAATCATGCAACACACACACACACACACACACACACACACACACACACATACATACGCACTATTATTTCAAAGTAAAACACCGCAAACACTGACTGCCCGCGCTGTACTACAAAGAACAGGCTCTCGGGTATATATAGCACAGTATTTTGACCTCCCATCTAGTGCCAGTGGGCGACTTTTACTCGGCTTAAAAAAACAATAAACATTGATACCGTAACGCGAAAAATTACATCGGCTAATTCGTAGCACCGATGCGCACCGATCTTTTAATATGGATCCATCTAATATTCAACATGCTTCTAGCACGAGACTACGAATTATCAGCTGGTATTCGATCATGTCGGCCGAACCAGCGTTCGCAGTGCTGGCGCACGAGTCCGCAAACACAAACATAGCAGAGGCGCTTGTGCGGGAAAGCCGGCGAAGCAGCCGCAGGCGCCCCGCCGATGCCATACCGTGTCGGCTTGCCGACGGCGTCGCTAGGCTTACGACGAGTACGGCTAAACGACCGCCGGCGATCGCAACATGCGGCTCGCGTGAAATTTTCGTCGTCGTTATTTTATAGTCACAAATGAACAATAGGTAAGTGCCCCATGTTCGCTGTGTATTACGGAGTGATGTAGATATCTGTATACTTACAGCGACGAGACCGTATGCAGGCTCGGTTTTTTCATAGTGCTGGTAAGGCACAACCTGTGTACCGCTGGCCGCACGATTACTCGTATCCGCGGTCGCCTACACGTTGGATTTTTGATAACGATTGTCGCATGGATAAAAAGACATAAGTTTGCCTGAGCTACTATTTTTGTGAACTTGTACGCGACGTTTCCTTCGCTTGTGCCGGCAATGCACTCACACCGGCAGCCCGCTTGATACCGATGACGTACGAAGCCTACTTTTCCTATATATCGCTTTGAACTTCTGGTCACTGTGTGGGTACACGACCGCTGATGAACAGCGTACCTTTATTAGCATTGTCAGTGTTCACCGTAGTTCGAACTTATTCAGCACATTAAAGCGAGTTCTCGGCATTGCCCGTGTTTGCGGAGACTTTCACTTGGCTTCGGCTCGCCCGTGCCGGCATGGTGGAAACGCGAGGGCACTTGCTGTGTGCCCTGACAGCGTGTTGTACTACTTTCCTCTAATAACATCTTCTATTCGTTTCATAGTGCTTCACTTTCACAGTGGCGTATAGCCTATATAACTTGTTTTCATGATCGCCGACCACGCCGAGCATTGCAGTGCAGCATCGACAGGAGGCGATCGCGGCGCAGTTGCCCTCCCCGTTGGTCCTTTCATTGCCGGGCGTTTGCGCAAGACACGCATTGTCACACATTTAGTCCCTGTTGGACGAACCGTTCGTCCATTGGTTTAACGACTGCAGTTAGTCCAACTTTGCCGAATTTCGGCTTAGAGTGTAGAACCAACTGTGAATTTTGACATTTGTGACTTTTCAACCTCTCCTTGTTTACTTTTTCTTGTTCGTAATTCATGCCTTCTTTCGGGGGAGGGGAGATGGTGTAACGTATGAAGCGATGGTTGGTAGAGGCCGAGAAGGAAGAAGTGCTGAATAGAATAGACATGGCGTATGAGCCAGGCCACGTCTTTCAGTCATCATAGCGTCACATAAATAGTTTTACACAGCGAATAATACCACTGACGGGCAAACTCTGATGCCTGAATGTATGGCTTAAACGACAAGCACACTCAAACATTATCTTTATTCAAGTTTTTCATTTATCACGTATCAATGTCAGAACAGATAACCCAACTTTGCGTACATTCATAAACTTGAACAGGTCCATGTTGAGGCGATGACAACAGAAAACCCATGCGAACTTCTTGGAGGCTCTTTGGGACTCGCCAACTTCTTTAAGAGACAGTATACGTAAACATTGTTTCGCAAAGGAATTTAAATACTGCTATTAGGTACGTATAGTTTAATATTATCTGGCACGTTGTGCACGATGACATTTAGCGTAAACACTAGACAGGGAGCAAGCATGAGGTCACAGACGTCTTTGTTCACTCGCTTGTCCTCTGTCTGTTTGCGATCAATACCATTATGAATAACACGTTTCAGTTCAGCCAACTAGCCAAATTGTTACATTATATTTTTGCTCTGTTTATCCTGCGGAAGGTCGAGTGTAAAATTACATGGTATAGCTTATTTATTGCTGTTATCAAGCTATAGGATTAAGCTTAATCGAATGCACTGCTTTCTATTACAGCAGTAGTACTCACTGTTGGTCTAGTTCGCGCATACCTAAACTGAATAGTAGATTTAGCGCCAAAATCCCGACAGCACTGCACACGAAGAAAACCCATAGACTGGACACATTTACAGCAGATAATGAAAAACTTACGCGGGCAGAGCGTCATAATACCACACAGCATGGCCGGGTCACTGCGATACTTGAGGCCAGCGTAAATAATGTTGGCGTTCTTGTCCACGGCCAGCCTACAGGGTTCTTCGATGGTCGTGTAGAAAAATTCGCAAGTCACACTGACACGGTACATCACCTGCGCCTGTGAACAATATATGGGATCAATGCGAGGAAGCTTTAACCTTGCTTCATTTAATTTGCATGCCTCATTCATAACTGAACTCGTCTCCATCTTGGTCGACGGAGAAGTGTGCACGAAAGCATGGAGAACGCGCAAAGCGCATTCATCTTACTCTGAAGACGCTGGTCTTATTGGTACATTGGAACTAAGGGTGACCTACGCTAGGACGAGACGAAAAAGGCACTTGCGCAGGTCACTCTAAGTTCCCTTCCCACCCTCCCACCTCCTCACACACACGCACCTTTGCTGTAACGTACTGCCAAGTGCCATACGGTGCAAACCATTAATGCGTTTAACAATTTACTACGTACTACAAAACAGACAGGCTTCACATTTCAATATATAAAGAAGCTTGGAGACGCAGTGTAAACGCAGACGGAGCATAAGACGAATAGTAAGAGGTGTTGACTTTTGCCTTCGTCTTCGCTCTTTAAGGGTGTGACAATCATGGCAAAATAACTTTTAAAAGCTTCTCTAGGTGCATTAATAGTGCACTTCAATATATTTCAAGCCCGAGAGCGCCTTTCTTTCTTTTCTTTGTTATCATTTCATTCCCGTACACCCCAATGCAATACCCCTCTGCGGAGCAACGAATGGAGAACGCATCGAGACACCATTCATTAGATTATATCAAACTCGTTGAACATGATGGCAGCGCCGCAACATAGTCATGACGCCCGGGGCGTCCGCAGCAACACGTGCAGAGGTATATATACGTGCAAGACCCACCAAACTCAAAAAGCCATTCCGTCGCTTCTTTCCTGAGTTAAGCATGAACTCGTAATTAAATGCTTGCTCACTGAGAACGATTGTTGTAGAAACGTAGACAAAAACGCTCTGTATATTTAATTTCATATATAGTTACTTAGAATACACTTTTCGCATACCTGTCTGTTCAATTAAGCAACAAAGATCCAACCAAATCATTTAGGCAACGAAAAGGCACCGGCGCACGGGCTTACGTGTGCCTGCAAAAAAAAAAATTCACAGCTTCGCCCCAAAGGCGAAGCTGTGTGTAAGCGTCTCAGTTGTTACACTTCAGTGTGCCTGAAAGGTGCGTCCTTTTCGCAAACGGAAGCTGTGCAACGATTGCAGTGAGATTTGTGCTCCCCGTAACTACAACAGAATTATTCCAGTGCAAGCCTAACGCAAGGCAAGACGGCTGATCCACCCCACCGGGAGATGAGGGCACGCGAGATATTGTCCACTTGCCCTGCTCTCCGAGGGTCTACGCGTGATATAAGAGAGCTGCCGCGCGCTCATTGCGTCATCTTGCTGATAATGGTGAAAACACGATAGTTCCCCCCTTCCCCCGCGAGATGCCCCCCAACAGCGGTAAGAGGTAGATATAAATAGCTTGCCCTTTGAACGTTGGTGGAGATACCCCTCGGTGGCTCAGTGGTTAACGCCGCGCATTCACGACGCGGAAGTTCTATGATTGAGTTCGCGCGCCGAAGCCTTTTTTCTGGATTTTTTTTCTGCCTTGCATTTTCATATATACATACATATATATATATATATATATATATATATGTATGTATATATATATATATATATATGTATATATATATATATATATATGTATATATATATATATATATGTATGTATATATATATATATATATATATATATATATATATATATATATATATATATATATATATATATATATATATATATATATATGTGTGTGTGTGTGTGTGTGTGTGTGTGTGTGTATGTATGTATACGGTACATGACGCCAGCGGCGAAATGCAGCCGAGAGTGTCCATATAATTGCTATCACAATAAAATATACTTACAGCCGTTCTATTCATCAGGCACCTCTCGATGTAGTCTAGGTATGACTTGCAGAAGTAGCACTGAGTGGTGTCGTTTGCTGCAAAATAGTGACAAGAAGTGGCATCGCGTTTATGTTCAACGCCTGTACAGGAGGTGAGTCTAGTCTACAGCGTCACTGGTTTGGTTGTTACATGATGGAAGGTAAGCAATGTCGATAACGAACGAAGTGCATTAGACTGTCTTCTACATGGCTTTTTTTCGCTGAAAACAACGAGCACCACTGTGTAAGTGCATCATCGCAATCTCTGTTCTCCGGCGAAAGACGGTATATATTGGTTCCTGGCTGTGATAAACGTGTGTTTTCAGTGTGCGCAGGTGGTTTCGATGGTGTTAATGTGCTCATGTGTCAAATGGTGTATCTATTTCACTATTAATGCGTTCCCGTGTGCTCAGATTTGGGTGCACGTTAAAGAACACCAGGTGGTCTAAATTTCCGGAGCCCTCCACTACGGCGTCTCTCATAATCATATAATGGTTTTGGGACGTTAAACCCCACATATCAATCAATCACTATTAATGCACTGAATAAAGAGTTGGAAGGGAATAAATAGATTTGAGCCCAAACGTACAACACACAAGAAGAGAAAACGACTACACGAGCGCTGTCTCTTCTTTTTTGTTGTCAGCTTGCACTCAAATCTATTTCTGAATGAACCAACGCGTCCAAAGAAGCATTGAGTTAAGTGAGCGCCGTACGTGTTTTGCTTGCCTGCATGTCTGATTAGGTACAAGTGTGAATCTGCCATATTTTCACTGGATTATTGTAATATCGATATACAAAGTCAAGTGTAACGCACCAAGTATACATACAGTCGAAACCCTTCATAAGAAGCACTGATATAAGAGACAAATGGGTATAAAAGACAGCAGTGTGCCTGCAGTAAAATACGGTTTAATAAGATAATCCATACGAGATACCCTACTTTTAAAAGACATTTCATATAAAAGACACGAATTCCTACCTAGAGCATGCCTTTTATAAGTGCGTTCAACTGTATATGAACAAAATGAATTTCGCTCATATAAACACACGGCGTCAAAACGCACTGGCACCATGGTCAGTTCGTTTAACGGGGACCATGCACGCTAGTCCTGAAGTGATCGTTCCGTGATCAGCTGCTGCATTTTAACCACATACCCGCACACAAAGCCTTCGTCAAGTTACATAGAAAAACGCCGCAGTGGTGGCTAGATGGTTAGAGCGTCCGCTTGCAATGCTGGGGGTGCGGGATTTGATTCCCAGTGCCGACCAAGAACCCAAGGGTTCTTCCCAATGGGTATGGCAGTACACCGACCTGGCGCTCAGTTGTTTCTGGATACTCGTCTCGAAAGGTAGCCGGATAAGATTCTGCGAAAACCCTGGACGAACCTAATCCACCACATCATCATCATCCTGACTGACTACGCCCACTAGTGGGCAAATGCCTCTCCCATGATCCGCCAATCAACTCGGTATTGTGCTTTCTGCTTCCATTTTATACCTGCAAACTTTTTTAATCTCATCGGCCCACCTAACTTTCTGACTCCTCTTCGTGCGTTTACCTTCTCTGGGCATCCAGGCAGTTACTCTTAATGACCAGCGGTTATCCTGCCTACGTGCTACGTGCCTGGCCCATGTCCATTTCTTCTTCTTGATTTCAACTATGATATCCTTAACCCCAATTTGTTCCCTGACCCACTCTGCTCTCTTCTTGTCTCTTAAGGTTACACCTACCATTTTCCTTTTCATCGCTCACTGCGTGGTCCACCATTTAGGCTTGACCCTTTTTGTATGCCTCCAGGTTTCTGTTCCCCATGTAAGCACCGGCAAGATGTAGCTGTTATATACATTCCTATCGAGGGTTAGTGGCAGATTACCATTCCTGATTAGAGAATGTTTGCCGAATGTGATTCACTTTATCCTTATTCTTCAGGTTATTTCACTCTCATGGTTCGGCCAGCGGTTAGTACCTATCCTAAAAAGACATATTCCTTCACAAATTCCAGTGTCTCTCCACTTTCGCAAAGTGCTGTTGTCTGCCGAGGCTGTTGCACATTACTTTAGTTTTGTGCATATTAATTTTCAGACTTACTCTTCTGCTTTCCGTGCCCAGTTCAAATATCATGAGCTGTATAATCCGTTCACTGAGTTACTCATCAAGGCAATTTCATCACTGAATTATAGGTTATTAAGATACTCTCCATTTACTCTTATCCCTAACTCTTCCCAATTCTTCCCAATCTAGGTCCCTGAAAACCTCCTGCAAACACCCGGTGAATAGCATTGGAGAGATCGTGTCTCTCTGCATTACACCAATCTTTATTGGGATTTTGTCGCTTTCCTTATGGAGAACTAAGGTGTGTTTTGTGTGAATCCACTATATATATATATATATATATATATATATATATATATATATATATATAAGGGAAAGAAACGTATACCTAAAGGCTCGTTTTTCTGTGTTTTAACACAATATAAATGAGATCTAACAGACAGTAATGCCAAGGAATGTACAGGGGAAGTTATTAGAACCGATGGAATGTAAATAAGAAGAAAGAAGAAAAGTGGATAAAAAATTAACCAGCCGTGAGCAGGAATCGAACCTACGACCTTCGAATAACGCGTTCGATGCTCTAACCACTGAGCTATCACAGCGGCCTTCCCTCCATCCACTTTTTTGGGTTTATATGTGAATTTAGAAGTAGGAGTGACAGTCAGCGCCATCTATAAGCCAAACAACGAGTGTGAAAACACTCTTATTCGCATGTTTGGCGTCACGTAGCACGTGAACTTATTATGAGCGGGCAGCTGATTAATTGTCCCTTTTATACAACTTAAACACACCAAGTCTGCCAGTACGAGACCCTCGTTCAATGAAATAAGGGAAAGAAGTGTATACCTAAGGGCTCGTTGTTCCGTGTTTTAACACAATATTAATGAGATCCTACTACTCACTCCTACTCCTAAATTCACATATAAACCCAAAAAAGTGGATGAAGGGAAGGCCGCTGTGATAGCTCAGTAGTTAGAGCATCGAACGCGTTATTCGAAGGTCGTAGGTTCGATTCCTGCTCACGGCTGGTTATTTTTTCATCCACTTTTCTTCTTTCTTCTTATTTACATTCCATTGGTTCTAATAACTTCCCCTGTACATTCCTTGGCATTACTGCCTGTTAGATCTCTATATATATATATATATATATATATATATATATATATATATATATATATATATATATATATATATATGTTTCTTCCAGTATAAATTCACCACAGACTTGGTGACATAGTTGCGCATCCACCGCTGCTGTGGGAGGTGGGAGGCACAGAATTGATGCCGCCAGGCACCTACTGCCTAAATAAGTATACAAGCGCACTTATGGCCTCGTATCCGGCAGAACAAAGTCCAGAGTAGCTTGGAAGGGCACCCAACCCGTGGAAAATAGGTGACATGGGACTGCCAGACTCGAAATTAAGGTCATCCCGTTTTTTTTACATTAGCTATGTCACACACCTATAAGTGTGCCCTGTAGGTTGGACTCATGAATTTATTTTTGTAGGGTATGCGAAAAACAAGCGGCCTACTTATATAGAGAGACAAAGACACAAGTATGCTTGCCTTTCTCAGCCGTCCACCTCACTTTCACGTGAAATTGAAATGCAATTGTAACTATCAATGACTTCGAAATAACGCGGGGGCACATCTTTTGAATCTGCGGTTTCCGTATTCATTCTCAAAGCTCCGTGTAAAACAGGATGTAGTACCCACGTATCCATTGTGTAGTATTCTGTATGAGCAAATAATTTACTTTTGACCCCAGCGTGTGCGTGCAAAGAGGGATTTATGTGAAACTTCAGTTGGCAGTGGGTGAGGGTGAGGAACTCGTTGGGCTGAGTTTTTTCGCTGCTATGCACACAACATATTCCAACCCGGATCAATAAACAGACTTGGCAGATCGCTGCTAATGGAAGTGTTACATGCCCAAGATAATAATTACTTTCATGCTTTAAAGAATGAAAAAAAAAGCATACGCACAGGCAGATACTGTTTCCAGCCAATTTAGCGATGAAAAGCTGACCGCTGTCAGACGTCGACTTCTCATTTGCTCTCGGTGATGCTTCTCCAGTGCCTCTTTGAATAGCCCCTGCATGCAGCCTTCACGTAAGCAGTGGCAAAATCATGGGGAAGGAGGGGGCGGGTCGGTAGGGTCCTCACTTCCCTTCTCGGGCAGGGGGGACAACCCTTTCAAATGTCCCCCCTTGAGATTTAGCTTTAGAACATCCTACTGAAATTGCTTGACAGTTAATTGCAGCACACTCCAAGCAACACTGTTATATATAAAATTTGATTATTCCTAAAAAGTGTACGCGACGGGGAATACAACTCGAAGTAAACTAAGGCTGTGCTTCGATGTGGTAGCATATGCACATGATTGTTTAACCCAAATTTACATAGCATAATTACATACAAAAGCCCGGTCATTTAAGAATTAAACCATGATTACATCACAAACGAACATTTCTACTGTTTCCTGGTTATTGTTTTTATAAAACACCGCCTGGCTGTCGCCGAGGCTCATGCTCGCTTAATTTATTTTATTGCAAATCATGGCAAATTTTTGCATATTTAAAACAAACATATATTTATAAAAACAATATAGCCGCCAATACAGGATTTCTGTGCCCACTCAGAATTTTTTCTCGATTTACGCCAATGAACGCTAGTATGCCCAATCACTCCTCTTCTGGGTGCAGGCAGTCACGAAATGAACACTGCCGCAAATGCGAGCAACCACGCGCTGCACGCGATTGCCTATACCGACTTTACGGCAATGGGGATCACGCCATTACTTAATCTTCTTGAACATCACTGTGGCGCCACTAACCTTCGGATTCTAACTCGTGTACCACTAATAATATCTGTTTTACGTTACGAAATGAATATTTGAATGAGAGACATCATAGTGGAGGGCTCCGGAAGTTTCGGCTATCTGGTGTTTTGTAACGTGTACTCCTATCGCACAGTGCACGGACCTCTACCATCACGCCTTCATTGAAATGCCACCACCGGGACCTGGATCGAACCCGTGACCTGCGGGCCAGCAGCCGAGCACCGTATAACCACTACGCCACCTCGGCAGACGATTGTCCTAAAGAAGCGTTTTAAATATTGAAGGGGTTCTGCGACATTTTTTTAAGGTAACTATCGAATGGCCTCCCTATCGAAGTTTGTTGCCGCACAAATCCACTGCCGCGTAAGTTTTTAGAGTCCGTGAAGTACAAGTGGAGTCACATGGATTTGCCGCACGTTCCAAGCGTTTCTTTCACCTTTCGTCCCAGCGGCAGGGCAGGGCAGGGCAGAAGCTGAAAGTTGACGTCAGCGTCCGTCACGACCATGAGTGCTTTCCTGTTCTCTTTGAACACGCGGCTCACTTTCGTTATAATCGCGATCAAGTGCACTGGTGTAATTCTTTTATATAAAGCTAGCAATGCAGAGTACAGCGCGGAGCATCCCAGCACACTTTGGTGGCCGCAGTAGTTGTGCAGCTCAGGACGCTCAAAACAGTCAATGGCCGTGTCCACGTGCGTTTGGGCATATGAAACAACTGGGTTTGGTTATATGACACCATTTGTAGAGATATTACTTTGGCGATTTTATGACATGCTGCCTTCGTGTGTCAGGGACGGCTGGCTAGTGTCATTTCTGCTTAAGCCACATTAGTCTCCAACATTAGCGTGCTTTTTACTCGCGCGTAGAATTGATATGGACTGCAAACAGAACACGACAGCGTCACCGAAAATTCGTCAAAAATGTTCATTTAATTACCATCGCAATTGATGATGTACCCGCCTCATCTACCTCGCGGACACGAAGAGGACACGCTTTCTTACACGCACGGTACCATGTAGATAATCTTGTCACAGTTTGCCTTCTTGCCAATTGGCGGGACATTCTTCTTCGGCAAAGGGAGCAGCGAAGAGAATCTGGTCTTTTACATAAGGACTTGGATAGCCAACAAAGCACGAATCGGAGACGCATACAAAGCAACCTTGTCCTTCCCAGTTGGATAAATAGGGACAAAGGAGGCTTGGCATACCTGGCAAAGATATGGTTGTATACGAGGGACTATTGGTAAGCTGCCCGCTCGTAATAAACTCACGTGCTACGTGATGCCACAGAGGCTCATAAAATGGTGTTCTACACTCGCCGCTATGGCTACAGATGACGCTGACACTCCCACGTTTAAATTCACATAAAAACCCAATAAAGTGGCTGGGGGGATAGCCGCCGTGATAGCTCAGTGATTAGAGCATCGAACTCGTTATTCGAAGGTCGTAGGTTTGATTCCTGCTCAGGGAAAGTTATTTTTTTACACACTTTTTTTTCTTACTTACATTGCATTGGTTCTAATAAATTCCCCCATACATTCCTTGGCATTATTGACTGTTAGATCTCATTATTATTGTGTCAAAACACGGAAAAACGAGCCCTTAGGTATCCATATATATATATATATATATATATATATATATATATATATATATATATATATATATATATATATATATTGTTATGGCGTTTATTAGCAGGCACACAGCGAGTATACACAATGGCGACAGTAACGGCCAAGCACGGACTCTCAGCGCGAGCGGCGTCCTTTTTGGGTAGACCCACTAGAGAACACTTGTGAGTTTGACCCACTTCAGTGTTCGGCGGCTTCTCTACAATTACCCCGGGGTCGAAGAGGGAGCCACCTGGCGACCTAACAGCTTGTCACTACGAGCGGGTCATAGTAAGCCTTCAGGTGCTCCACGTTGACTATGTCGCGCCCGCGACGGCGCATGTCCGAAGATTGTTCAATTGGCTCGACAAGATAGTTGACTGGAGATGTGCGCTCGATCACACGGTAGGGACCTTCATATTTCGGGAGTAGTTTGGAAGAAAGCCCAGCTACAGAGGTCGGGATTGGGAGCCATACAAGGGAACCAGGAAGGAACTTGGGTTCAGAAGTGGCGGAGCCATCACGAATACCCTTCTGCTGCTCTTGCTCATGCGTCGTAAATGTTTTGGCCAGCTCGCGACACTCTTCAGCAAGCCTGGCTGTCTCGTAAATAGGTGCACACTCAGATGGATCCGGCGTGCACGGGAGTATCGTGTCGATGGTGTGTGACGGGTGCCTTCCGTACAGCAAGAAGAAAGGTTAAAAACCAGTCGTGCTCTGAGGGGCGGTGTTGTAGGCGTAGGTGACTAAGGGCAGTATAGTATCCCAATTCGTGTGGTTGGCGGCGACGTAAATCGAAAGCATGTCGCCGAGGGTGCGGTTAAAGCGTTCGGTCAGACCATTCGTCTGCGGGTGGTAAGCAGTTGTTTTGCGGTGGAAAGAATGGCACTCCGTGAGAATGGCTTCGACGACTTCTGACAAAAAAACACGGCCTCGATCGCTGAGAAGCTCCTGAGGTGGACCATGGCGCAGTATGAATCGATGCAGTAGGAAGGACGCAACATCACGCGCAGTAGCCGCAGAGATAGCCGCGGTTTCGGCGTATCGCGTTAAATGATCTACGGCGACGATGGCCCAGCGGTCACCAGCCGACGTCAGAGGAAGTGGTCCATACAAATCGATACCTATGCGCCCAAACTGACGCTCAGGGCAAGGTAACGGTTGCAGACTGGCTGGCGAAATGTGTGCTGACGGTTTGCGGCGTTGGATAGCGAGGCAGGAGCGAACGTAGCGGTACATCCCGCGCCAGAAGTAGCGTTGTCGAATGCGATGGTAGGTTTTGAATACACCCCGCCGCGGTGGTCTAGTGGCTAAGGTACTCGGCTGCTGACCCGCGGGTCGCGGGTTCGACTCCCGGCTGCGGCGGCTGCATTTCCGATGGAGGCGGAAATGTTGTAGGCCCGTGTACTCAGATTTGGGTGCACGTTAAAGAGCCCCAGGTGGTCAAAATTTCCGGAGCCCTCCACTACGGCGTCTCTCATAATCAAATGGTGGTTTTGGGACGTTTAACCCCACAAGTCAATCGATCAATCAGGTTTTGAATACCCCAGAGTGCGCGCATTGCGGATCAGAATGGAAAGAATCACATATCTCTGACCGCAGACTGCGGGATATCACGAGTAACCACTGCCGGCCATCGGTGTCGTAATTGCGTCGGTGTAGGAGGCCATCAAGGATGGCGAAATGGCGAGCTTGACGACGCAAGGCACGCGTGGATGGCGTTGCGGATGGATCAGAGAGCAAGTCGATGAGCGGGCCGATCCAATTATCCTTTCGCTGTTCGGTAGCGATGATGTCAACATCAATGGCAGAAACAGCAGCAGAGGATACTGAGCAGAGCGCATCACCTTCGGGCAGAAGGGAGCGCGAGAGGGCGTCGGCGTCAGCATGCTGGCGTCCGTTACCGTACAGCACGCGGATGTCGTAGTCTTGTAAGCGAAGAGCCCAACGGGCGAGACGGCCTGAGGGATCCTTCAAGGATGAAAGCCAGCATAGTGCATGATAGTCGGTGACGACATCAAATAGGCGACCATACAATTAAGGTCGAAACTTTGTAAGGGCCCAGATGATTGCCAGGCACTCTTTCTCCGTGACGGCGTAGTTTGTCTCGGCTCTCGTGAGCGTACGGCTTGCATATGCTACGACATATTCAGGGAATCCGGGTTTGCGCTGCGCCAGGACAGCGCCGAAGCCTACACCGCTGGCGTCTGTGTGCACCTCCGTCGGGGTCGTAGGGTCGTAGTGGCGTAGAATGGGAGGAGACGTCAGCAAATGGCGGAGCTTCGCGAACGCGGCGTCGCACTCAGACGACCACGAATTGAGGGGCCCGTTACTTCTAAGGAGCTTCGTCAGCGGTGATATAATCGTAGCAAAGTTTCGTATGAAGCGTCGGAAGTATGAGCACAGGCCCACGAAACTACACAGTTTTTTGACGGACGCAGGTTTGGGGAATTCAGCCACGGCCCAAAGCTTGGCTGGGTCAGGAAGAATGCCATCCTTAGACACGACGTACCCTAGGATGGTGAGTTGCCGTGCTGCAAAGCGGCACTTCTTCAGATTTAGTTGCAAGCCGGCATTGCTCACACGTGCGAAAACTTCTTTCAGACGTTGGAGATGCGTGAAGAAATCTGGAGCGAACACAACAACGT